AAACAAAAAGTACAAATTTAAAACAGATGAAAAAATCAGAATAATCACAACACTAAATAGCTAGATCTTAAACACATGGTAGCTCCAAGAAAACACAGGGAACAAGCTATGTCCACATGACACAGTCCAAAGACCTGGGTGCATCATGGTCTCATAGGTAATATATGTAAGTGCTTCTAGAAACATGGAGAAGCCATTTTAACACTTTTTAACATACAATGGCTCTCTTACAATACTGCCATCTAATATAGATGCACAGAGACTTTTTATTCATCCTAGATGTATATTTTAATTGTTTACAAATAGATAATTTGCTAAATAATAATAATTATTATTATTAGTTTTTGGTGTGGTACTGGGGATTGAACTCAGAGGTGTTCTACCACTGAGGTACAGCACCAGCCCTTATTTATTTTGAGATAGGGTCTTGCTAAATTGGTGATGCTGGCCTGGAATTTGGAAGCATCCTGCCTCAGCCTCCTTAGTCCCTGGGATTACAGGTGAGTATCAACACAACTGGCTCCGAATTCCATCTTATTAGGTGAAAACTTTGTAATGGTGCAATCAACATTTCACTAAAATCAAATATCTTTTCCCTTTAATTAAAAATACCATAATACCTTTTCTTTTTGCAGTGCTGGGGATCAAACACAGGGCCTCAAGGTCTATACCACTGACCTACATCTTCAGCATCTATACCTTCTCTTGGTAGTATTTTACTTCTGACCTTAAAAAAACACAGGGAAAGTGGCTACAGTAATGCACTCCTGTAATCCCAGGGGCCCAGGAAGCTGAGGCAGGAGGATTCCAACTTCAAGGCCAAACTTAGCAACTTAGCAAGGTCCTACACAACTTAGTGAGATCCTGTCTCAAAATAAAAAATAAAAAAGGGCTGGAGACTTAGTACCACTGGGTTGAATTCCTAGTACACAAAACCAAAACCAAAACCGAAACCAAACAAACAAGGACTGGGCACGGTGGCACAAGCCAGTAATCCTAGGGACTCAGGAAGCTTAAGCAGAAGTATCTCAAAAGTTTGAGGCCAGCCTCGGCAATTTAGTGAGACCCTGTCTCAAAATAAAAAATAAAAAGGGGTGGTAATGTGGATCAGTGGGAGAGCACTTGACTACTATCTATGTGCAAGGCCCTAAGTTAGATCCCTAGCACCACACACATACACACACACTCACACACACACACATACACACACACACAAAGAGGGACTGGGATTGTGGCTCAGTGGTAGAGCTCTTGTCTAGCATGTGTGAGGCCCTGGGTTCCATCCTCAGCACCACATAAAAAATAAACAAAATAAAGGTATTGTGTCCAACTACTTCTAAATAAATAAATAAGGGGGGGCATGTGGGGATACAGTTATGTTTGAATGATGAAGACATTAAGTTTGACTAAACCCTTTATTTCTGTGTTTAAATGTGGGATAAGGATAGGATAGGAAAACTTATAAATGACAAAGTAGGAAGAAACATCTCAAGTTACATGTTCCATCTGAGAAGGACATATTTTTAAAGTTGTGTAACTGAAAACATTTCTGAACAAGGCCATTTCAAAACACTACATTACAGTCATGTGCAATGATGAATGCACTCTGCACCTAAAAATAACTAAAAAATTTTTGGAATAGTCGCTATACCCCCCATGACTACTGATTCAGAGAAAAAGTGATTAGTGATTTTAAATTACTTGAGACAGCTAAATTTAAAAGAAACAGACAAGACTCTTTTTAATGTCAATATATATGGTATGCAATAAAATATGGTTTTAATATTTTCCACTATTTTTCAACTAGAGTCTTTCATTGGAGACAAGGGTGAAATCCAGCACATGTAATAATAACTACATTAAAATATATGAATTAAACTCCAAAACAATGTTTTTTTCTTTTTAAACAATGTTTTATTTTTATCCAAATCTATTTAAACTTTGTATAAATTTTAATGTTGCAAGAGAATCCAATCTGTTTATGAATTTAGTTGGACAATCAAGTTCTACCTAATATAATGCTAAGCAAATGAGATTGATAAAAATTTTCTAAAGTATACACCAAAAATACTATCATAGGAACCTAAGAACATCTAATACTTCAAATCATAGCTCTTGTTGTCTTTATATTATACCAATTTGTATCAGAGTTTAATAAAAGAAATGGCAACAATTTCCAAATTGGTAGCATACTTTTTAAAAAAGATTTTTAAAATGTAAGGCCATTTAAAAAAATAAACAAACCAAGCCAGGCATGGTGGAACATACCTGTAATCCCAGTTGCTCTGGAGGATGAGGCAGGAGGATTGCAAGTTCAAGGCCAGCCTCAGCAATTTATCAAGGTCATAAGCAACTTAGTGAGACTATGTATCAAAATTAAAAACAAAAAGGTCTGGAAATGTTGCTCAGTGGTAAATTGCCCTGAGTTAAATCCCCAGTACAAAAAACAATTCAGCTTTTCACAACCAAAATATTAGCACAACCTTAAAATAATTTAGAAAAGGGTGTTCTAAGATATGTTGCAGATCTGTTTTATTACCCAAAATTATGTTAATTCATAATTCTAAATTTTTATAAAGTATAAGATTAAAATAATTTTTAGTATGTGTAAATTCTGTATTTTATTACATAGGTATGTTTCTTCAACACTATCTTTTAAAATGGATTGTTTAAAGAGACAACTTTTATTCTAAATTTTTCATTCATTCAACTTTATTTCTGGTTGAATCCACATGATATGTGCTTTCAATGCATAAAATCATAGTGGATCTTCTACACATACAACTGAAACAGTTTGGGCAGCAAAAGATTTTTGTAACAATGAAAGGTTATAAATTGTATTTCAATCCCTTTTTCTTTATCTCAAAGTGCAAGATGTAGGGTTCTCATAATCCCTCAGTAATGCTACTCCCATAAATAATCCTTTGTTTTGTTTGTCACAGAAAGTTTTTAAAATAAGTATATTCTGGTAAGCTGACATAAAACAAATGACACACGTACTGCAATGAATAAACTTACATGAATTGTGATATTGGATTGGTCTATCAGAGTAAATTGCAGATCCCGGAAATTGAGACTTTGAATAACAATAAAGCTCCATTTTTAGAGTCTCTGGTTGAATGTTTAATTAGATCAACTAATTGTCCTTCCACATCTGGTTGTTCATAAAAGCAAAACCTACAATTCGAGTGTTCAATTCTAGTGTGAAGTGTTTTACTATAGAAATGAAAGCTTGAGCTTAAAAGATAATGGTCATTAGAACTATCCTGAACAAAAAATGACCACCTAGCACATTTGCTAGCTTCCACTCTGTCTTCTACCATGTGATTGGTCCTGAATGCCAACCTTGTTTTGAAAGTTTGTCAGCTCTGTAAAGCTTATCAAAACCACATGACCACTATTGCACGGATTCATAAACTCTTGCAACCCTAGCAACAGAGTCAGGATCAAAATTCAAATGATAGTGCATAGTTCCAGACACACAGAGGTCTGTGGTGGTGAGTCCATTTAAGTTCCTTTGGATTTGCTTAGTGTGCATTGGAAGTAGCAATGGAAAAAGTAAGGGATGTCATCATGACTCCCTTGGGCTCTGCAATGATACTCCTATGATGCAGTGAACAAGTCATTTATAGACAGGCCCACAAAGATTGCTGAGGCAACAATCATGTCCTGATCTATCTGATTCTCATATTTAGAGAAAACATTTCTTCCCACTTTAGAATAAATTTCAGAAACTTCCATGGGAAAACTGTCTAGACAATTGCCATAAATTCCTTTCAAATGAAACAGATTCTAGTCTAAAGGCACAGAAAACTGAAACCAGTCTTAAGGCCTAAGTCCAATAACTACAGGCATGTTCACCAAGGCAAAGATGCAAGTCTCAAATGTGAGAGTATAGTAAAGTCATTATTTTACATTACACCTTGATGTATATGAGGGTCAGTAAAAGACATTACTCATTTAAATATAGAAAATAAGTAGTTGTCTTTAACTTTTGCTTAAATTTTTTAAGCATTATCAAGTTATTTGGTAGAAATATCAGTCATAAATATCATATATGCATAGTGCAGAAATCTCATCTTTGAAAGCATATAATTTTTGTTTTCTAAATCAAAAAATTACGATTTTCATTTTTGAATACTGGAGAAAAGAATTATATGAAATCTATTTTTTGATGTTTAACACTGAATTGTAACATTTTAAACTGTATTTTTTTTGTATTTCAGTTTATATTTAGGGATTTTTAAACACTGAGCCACATTCTTAAGCCCTCTCCCCACTTTTTCAAATTTTGAGACTGTCTTGCTAAGTTGCTTGAAACCACACTAAGTTGCTGAGGCTGAATTTAAAGTTCTGAAACTCCTCAGTTTTTCAATTTGCTTGGATTACAAGAATGGACCATCATTCCCAATTTATAGTGCATTGTTTTTACCTATATTTACGTTATGTATTCAATATGTCCTTATAACTGAATATTTGTTTATATGTTAACACTCATGTATTTCATCCTGTTGTTAAATAACAGACATCACATTGTTCCACTTGACTAAATGTTTTATGTAACAGTAAAACATACTACTGAGTAAATGATACTGTAGCATCTCTTAATTCTTTTACACATTTTAATAAAACTTAAAGTGGAAAAAAAAAGATGCAAGTCTCCATTCTGAAATTCTGTACTTTTTATGAATTATTTGCTTTTTTTTTAAAATTAGTTGTAGATAGACACAATACCTTTATTTATTTTTATGTGGTGTTAAGGATAGAATGTAGTAAGGCAAGGGCTCCATCACTGAGCCACAACCCCAGCCCCTTAATGAATTATTTTGTTCTTTATACACAGTCTCAGGCTGAAGATTGTGAAAATCTTTTTGAATATCATTCCATGATAGACTTAGATTGGAAGAATAAACCAAGACTTTGCCTCTCGCCTCCACTGGATCTCACAATTTGTTGGTCAAGAAACCAAGTGGAGAATGAGAGCATTAAGCTCAATCAAGATGACAACCTCCCTAAAGCATGGAGACTTTGTGGCAGAGCTTATGGGGGAAAAGCCAGTGAGGAGCCTGCCTGGGATTGGTGAAGTCCTGGGCAAGAAGTTGGAGGAAAGGGGCTTTGATAAAGCATATGTTGTCCTTGGTCAGTTTCTGGTGCTAAAGAAAGATGAAATCATCTTCCAGGAATGGCTGAAGGACACATGTGGTGCCAATGCCAAGTAGTCCCAGGACTGGTTTGGGTGCCTTTGAGAATGGTGTGATGTTCTCTGGGGAGCCCTCAATCTCCAGTCCTATTATCAAGTCTCCAGAGTTTGTATCCAAGTGGAGGCTCTTTGTCCTCTACAAAGGAAAAGATTGCTGTTGTTGTCTTTGAGAATTCTCTCCCCTCCCCATTGAATTTTTGCTCTTGCATGCAACTCCCTTTCTCTTTCCCCTGCCAGTTCCATCCATGGAAACCTTTAACTAGCTTTTCTCATTGGATTCCTGGCCCCTTCCCCATCTTTACCTCTGGTCTGCTTGATGCCATTTAGCTCCTTTTTTTGGCAATAACAGCCAATAAAGTCAGTGGCCTTCCTAATAAAAGAGGAAAGAAACCAAGTAGGAATTCAGAGGGAATGCGACCTTATTAGTCTTTGACAACTTTTTCTTGTGTGTGTGGTGCTGGGATCAATGGGGATCTAACCCAGGGGCTTGTGCATGTGAGGCAAGCACACTACCAACTGAGCTATACCCCCAGCCCATTTTGGCAGCTTTGTTTTTCTCACAAGGCATCCTCATTGTGGAGAGCTCAGGAAGGTGTACTCTTGGTTGCCTTTCTGCTTTTGTTTTGCAAAAAGCCACCATTTAAATTGTATCCATCAGCCTTTTCTTGTTTGACCTGTTTTTATTTTTCCTTCACCTTTTTCATCTTCACTATTGATGATACAGCTGGCCATATCTTTAACATAGTGGCTACCAAATAAGGAATCATTTTTTCCAAACTGATTGGCTAGTGATGGTTATAGTACCAAGAAATCAGTTTTTTTTTCTTTTATTCAGGTTAAAAGATTTCTGGAAGTTTTATTTTATTTTTTTCTTGTGAAGGTTTTAGTCTTAAAAAGGTCTTTCTGGAATACTTACTATCACTACTTATCTGGAGAGTGTGGGAGGCTGTATCTGTGTATTTTTTCAGCTTCACTTAACCTTTAGGACCATTTTCCAGCTGCTTTGATGGAGCAGCATGTCTCTCCACTTCCTCCTCCAGTACTGGTGCTACTACTGCACATGTGTTTTAAGCCCTTAAATTTGTGGCAATTTGTTAACACAGCAACAGAAAATAGGCCATTATTGGTGTTATTTGAGTGGCAAAGTTTGGGACTGAGTTGAAGAAGTAGTTGATTTATTTACAGATGGTTTTAAATTTAGAATTCCTGTATGTAAAAGGTAGCAAAGAAAACAAACAAATCAGTGTGAAAGAGAAAACACAAAAGCACCTCCTTCAATGCTCAGGTCAAGTGTTCTTCATCTACACCCTCCAGTCTGAAGTGACTGTTCCCGCCCCAGATATTTAGAAACCAGTGTATTTAATTAGCATATTTAATTGCCTAAATAATAATCTTCTGTATTGTTCTCCAGTGGCTTTTTTTTTTTTATGAGGAGGGTACTAGGGATTGAACCCAGGGGTGCTTAAGCAGCAGGTCACATTCCCAGCCTCTTTTTATTTTTTTGAGACAGCTTCTTGCTCAGTTGCCTAGGGCCTTGCTAAATTGGGGAGACTGGCTTTGAACTTGCGATCCTCCTGCTTCAGCCTCCCCAGCTGCTGGGATTACAGGCATGCACCAACACGCCCAGCCCCAGTGGCTTTTTGTGTCTATCAAAGTAGGCTTCAAATTTCTTGAGGGCTAGGAACTTGTTTTGTTCATTTTATGTTTCCTATAGTGCCTTGAACATAGAGATTCTAGCAAATGTTACTAGAGTGGCTGAAGAAGATATGCTTGTCTGATGAATAAGTACTTCACACGCAACCTTCCAGGAGTTATTTCTGGAAGGCACCTGGTTGGAGTTCTTCAAGTGTTTTCTTACTGAGTCACGGAGAGCTCCACCACCGCTTTCCATAGCGGAAAAATGTATCATAACATCCTGTGACTCTTCTCTCAGGATAAGAAACCATAGACTACGAGTATCTGTAAGCTAAATAGTCTGCCCGACTGAGAGCATGACCTGGCATTTAATAAGAAGAGTTCTGCCTAATTAACTAGTACCGGCTAATCACTAAGGCATAAACATCTGCCAGAGGAATCTGAGAAGTCTGTTTTAAAATTTGAAAAGCCGGGGCACTTGTGTGTGTGTGTGTGTGTGTGTGTGTGTGTGTGGTTACTAGTGAAATCAAATTACAAGACAAGGTTGGTGCCCAATTTCCAGGAGAGTTTGTGTAGTGAATTTTGTCTTTTTCACTGCATGATGTGATTTTTGATTATTGGATGGAAAAATTAACATTATGATTTTTTTCTGTGTTCATATCCATAACTAACAGTTTGTCAAGTATATCTAAGAAGTTGAGCATTCATTATGTCCCTGAATTGTTATTTTTTGATGTTGTCAAGGGACTAGGTAGTAGAAAGACTATCAAGAAATTCACTGACCTGGTTTCTTAAATTAAGGACTTTTTTGAAATCACAAGGCTCTGAGACATCCAACTTGTAGCCTCCAGTGGCTTGTAATAATTTCTTGCTTAAGTGACAAGCTACCTTAAATCTTTTCTGGAACAAAAGATGAGGCATAAATTAATAACAATGTGACAAAATTGAACGCTGGACTTGAAACTGCAGGAGGATCATAAGGGCTGATTTGTTAAAGAAGGGCAATTCATGACAATCTAGATTTAGGCAGTGGACAAATGAATTCATTTAGCATTGTTGAAGTACCTTGAGCTTAATGGAATCACAGATTGGCGATTTGCAGGGCTATTTGGTAGAAATGAAGTCACTGAAAGTCACGAATTTTGACAGAAGTGGATCATTTTTAACATTTTTATAGTAGCTTTTGGCGTGCAAACTCTCATTATGTCCCCGAGTTATTAAGCATTTGCCCTGTAACTGTGGGCAAAACTCGCCCGAATACCGAAACGATTTTGAAATTTCGGGCTATGGTACCGAAATCTGAGATGTTCGTGTTCATTTGACCCTGCGAAAGTATCAGTCTTTTTCCGCGAAGTGCTTAAATCAGTGGGTGGGGTTAGAATTACGGCGTGTTCAAACCCGAATCCTCTCCCCCATCGTTTCAAACAATTACGTCTTTGAAATACAATCATTTGAATTTACTTGTTCTGAATTGACCCATCAGCTTTGTAACTATCCTTTTCTGTACGAACAAAGTTGGCTAAACTTTTTTAGACGCCTCTGGCATTTCTGTTAACATTGACATTATTGAGTAGGTAACAAACAGACTTATACTTTACCACTTTGGCAAAAATGTATCCGACGTATATGTGAATTTTTTTTACCCCTCCGTTTCACTCTTGAAAAATTTGGGACTCGCCTGCTCCACTGAATGCCCTAACTGGAAGTCGGGTTGACAGGGTTGTCGCATGCGCTCTGGACACAATCATGTTTGTCGCAATGGGCCCTGCGCGGAAGGTTACCTAAGACCAGTGACTTTAATGATAGTCATTTGGTTGGTAGCGCTGGTTACCGTGCTACCTCCGCGAGGGTACTTGATTGTAACAGAAAGTAGTTCCGGCCCGTGTTGTTTCGGCCGAGGAGCCGTCGCCGCCATTTCAAGACCGTGAGAGGTAGATGGCCAACTAGAGTTCCCAAGGTTCGAAGCCTGTTAACTGCTGCCGCCTCTTAAACCTTCCAAAACACTGATATAGCTGCTGTCCTCTTCCTACTACCTCCAGAAACATTCTTGCCAGTAGTGGCAGCAGTTGGAGTCAATTACCCCCTTCTTGCTCTCCCTCAAGAAGCTCCAGATGGCGTCTTCCGTGGGCAACGTGGCCGACAGCACAGGTACCAGTGTCCGGTTCTATCGTGGCAGACACCCCTTTGGGGTCTGGCGCCGTCCTGTACCTTTCATCACTCCCTCCCTGCCCTCTAACCATCCCCATTACATCGTGGTCTACTGGCATCTGATCAGGTTTTCCGCTGTCGTCTGTTCCTCAAACATTTTCGCTTACTTGTTTGCTTGCTTGCTTTATGCTGCTTTCTTTGCTTTTTTTTCCTTTAACTCCGTAAATGTTCTAGTCTTCTACTCTCTTCGGGACGCTTTTAACCACACGTGCGCGCTTAGAATGTCTTGGAATGGACTGCATTGGAATCCTTGCCCTTTCAAAATCCTTCGCAACCGTTTTCTCCTTTAATTCCAGCTCATTGCCCTCTCCTTTCCCTCTCCTTTCCCTCTCCACCTCCCCCTCAAGCCCTTTCCCCTTAACTACATTTGGTCTTATTCTGCCAATCCAGGGCGGGGGTGCCATTTCGATGTAATCATATTCTCACTTTGCATCACGCAAAGACCATCAAAAGCTCGTCGATGTGCTTCAAGTAACCTCAAGAAGAGGGGACATTGAGCAGCACTTCGCTGGGCATCTTTATGGTGTTCTTTCGGTTGAGCGGTCCTGGTTTAGATTGGAAATTTCCAGGGGTTCCCTGTGCCATCGCCCAATTCCACTCGCTGCCCCCAGCTTGCGTGTCCCACCCAGTCGTCCTTCCCCGCCCGCGGGGAACCACACCCTTTCCTTCGCGAGGTTGCCAACCCTGTGGTCCACTTCCTATCCTTGGGAGGGAAATCACCCTGGTGCGTTGCTTTGCGTTGACCACCCTGCCCGCCCAATTTTCGCTTTGTGTTACTTTCTCGATGTATTCCTCCGCCGCCGCCTGGGTCTTCCATCCCCATTCTTTAGCCCAGTATCTCTTTATTCATAGGGTGTATGTTTTTTTTAAGTTTCCATCTTTGCTTGAAGAGTTTGTAAAGCAACTGGAGTGTAGCTGCACAAGTGCAAGGCGGTTGCCCTTTTAGACAATTCAGTCTCGTGCATTTGGTACTAAAAATAAGAAAACAACCAAATTATAGGAGTGTCCTTCGGCTGCCTTTCCATATTGAGATTATTTGGGGCGGGAGGGTTTCGGGAATTGGACTGTGGTTCTAAGGTTTCCCGTGAGGTGGTGGTGGTGGTTGTTATTGTTGTTTTTGGCGATTTCGCAGTTGAGATGTGTCAAGGGTTTTAGTTACTGTTTTTTTTTTTTTTTGGGGGGGGGCACTGCAATAAGCAATAGGTGAATCTTTTTTAGTATCCTATCCATAATTGTACGGAGTGGGATCCGTAATTAGCCCGTTCTTCCGTCCCCATTCCCTCACCGTGATTTTTAAAGATTTTAAGATTCTGTACTAGAGTCCTTATTTCCGTTATTTGAGGAAGTGGT